CCAATGCATAACCTTAAAATATGCATGATAATGCTGCTCAAATATCCACTGTTCTTTTTCCATATGAACAGTTGCCCCTGCTGGTCTCCAAAGATGGCTTCCATCAATTCTTCCCTTCCCTGGATGCATTTGCTGCTTCTTCCTTTAGAAGTGACGTCTACTTCTCCTCCACTTGAGTCTGGGCTGTTCTTGGGATCGTATAACTTCGTATAATGTATGCTATACCAGAAAAAGGTCACAAGATAACTTCAAGACAATGAAGGGATGGCCGATCTGATAACCTGATCCCAGGAAAAAGAAACACGAGTTGATCACCTAAGACGTGCTGACCTCTAAAAAATTTCCTCCCTTCTTTTTGGACTATTGACTTAAGCTTGCTGATACAATAAAAATAGTACCCAAAACCCCCCTGCAGAGAAAAATCTAAATAAAAGGCATTGTCTCATGCTCTACTGGGCTCCAGCTGCAACACGCTGACAGTCTGCAGAGAGAGAACGTGCATATTGATGCATTGAGGTCTCCGTCTGTGTTTGTTATTTTTGCCGATCCCTCATCCCTTTTTCAAGGGCCCCCAACTCGACTGGAGCTGGTCTCCGGCAGAGTCACTCATGCTGAGGAAGCAGATAAATCCCCAAACAGATCGATTTTTCCTAAAAACAGGAGATTCCACTCTACCTGAGTCAGTGTAATAAGTCCCCTCTGCTTTAACCCTTACAAAGATAAATAACCTGAAATAACCTGAAGTTAACCAATCGATTTTTTTTCTATGCTGTTTTCTTATTCCCACCTTCCAAAATCCACCATCTGCCACTGCCCAGTGGGACCTCTTGTATTTTGTGGAACGGGGGTTGCTCTGATTCATGAATTGCAAATAAAAGCCAATTAGATCTTCAGCTAAATTTGTTGTAATATTGTCTTTTGACACTTGTTGCGTGCAGTCTCTGAGCCTTGGTTTCCACATTTGCAAAAAGAAGAGAATATTGCCAAGTTCACAGAACTGTATTAGGTTATACATGTGAAAGTAACTGTCAAGAAATGCTGGTTTTCTTCCTCTTAGCATACAGTAGGCAGCCTTAGATAAGTTTAGGGAGTTAGACAAAGCTCACATGGGCTGGGTCTTCTCTAAGCAAATACCTTTCCTCCTGGGCCTCATGAAGTCATTCGCTAAGCCTGGAAACTTCACTAAAGATCTTTCTCAAAGGGGACTAGCTACCTCATTACCTCTATGGGCAACTGTGAAAGTGCAGCCTGCTCCTTTGGGCAGCCACTGCATTGACTGGTGGTGATACATTCAAGGTCAACATCCAATTTCAGGACAAGGGAAAGTATAACTTCACTTGAACATGAGGCTGGAGAACAGTGACATTGCTGTCCTGGGTAACCTTCAGGCACTGTAAAATGAGGTGACTCTGAACTTGCAGGAAAACAAGGATCAGGAAATCCATCACTTTATAATTTCTGAATGCTGGGATTCTCCTGGGCACTCCTATAGCACATTACTCTGGATCACGTCTTTCTGGGCACACTGTGAGCTCTTCAAGGGCAGAGAATGGGTCTGCAGCATCTTTTACCTGCAGTGACTAACAGAGTGCCAGGCCTACACCAGACACGACACATTTGATAAAAAAGTAAATGCATTAATTAATGGATGGATAGACCGGGGAAATTCAGGCTATGTAATCTGGCTGCCTTAGTGATTATTTCACATAATGTGCTTTCAGAATTCCCTGAAAACACAAGCTTTAATTTCAAAAACTAATTCTGAAAAGCAGAAAGAATGTGTCCCAGTGCAAAAGTGACTCAATCAAAACTGTCAAGCGCAACGATGCATTAAACTAATCCATTCAATCCCTCATTCATTCAACAAACTCTTACTGAATCTTCATTACATGCCAGGCACTATGCCAAGAGCTAGAGAAAACGAGGAAAAAAAGACATGGTCCCTAGAGGGGCCGGGGATCAATCGAGGTTTTTAAGCTCCCTGCGTGGTTCCATTGTGCATCAGAATTGAGAAGGGCTGTCTGGGAGGACCAGCTGCTCACTGCCCAGAGCCTGCAGGGTGACAAAGGGCAGACACCGCACCAGTTCTGGGGGACCACCTGCTAACTACTCTGTTCTTCTCCCCATTTCCACCTCCTGCCTTTTTCTCTCTTAACCAGTCAGAATCTCAGATGAATTATTTATTGCTTTTTGCAACTTCTGAATAATACTCTTGTTCCTTACAGTTACCTTAAAAAGTTACAAAAAAAATAAATAAAAGGTAAAATAGAGTATTTTAGATTTGGCTTTTTCAAAAACAAAACCAGAAAATGTATTTCTTTTCAACTGAAAGCTCACCAATCCAAGACACATTTATTAAATGCATATTGCATTTAGGACAACTTGGAAGTCTAAGGCAAGAAAAAGTTTCAACCTTCTGTCTAAACTTTGGTTCTACACTGAAATTTTTTTCAATGGATTCTTAGGAGAAAAAGGGTACAAATCACTCTTCTATGTGCTGTCCTTTCAGTGCTCCACAAAACCTCATAATTAAAAAAAAAATAAAAACAAGCCTTGAGGAATCATTTTTCACCCTTGTGCCTGGGGCCTTGCACCGAGTCTGACAATACAGCATCCACAAGCCCAGGAGGAGGCTCGCCTTCTACGCATTCCATAAAGAGTAAGAGATTCTGGATGGTCATTAGTGGGACCAACTGTTCCAGTTAGTGCAGGACTGAGGCACTGCAAGAGTCCCTGACAAACCTGGACATCTGATCACCCTAACGGGCACCTCTCTTCTCATTACCAAAGCTCTTTGAGAAAAGAAGATAAACACCGTGAAACCTGGTCATAAATCTCATTGCAAGTTCAGGGACTTCACTATAATATGAATTATTCCATACACTTTGTGCCAATGGTGATATTTACCATTTTTGCTAGTGTGCAAGATGTGCATTTTTCTCGGTCTTGCACCTCAAAGTATTCCTGTTGGAGACAGACTCTGATAGATGTTGGACACCTACATTCCCTCTCCCTACCCACTATCTATAGTTCCTCCTGGAACACAACGTAGGGTTGCCCAAAGATTTCCTGGTTAAATTGGAGTGAGCCTCATGCACCAGCTCACATGTACCACTTGTTATCTTCCTTTATCCACGTAAGGACTCAGGTTCAGGTTCTAGTACTCTTCCCCAGCACCAGGACTATACAAACATGTTAAAGGGACAAGCACGTCACTTTCACATTTCTTTGTCAGAAGAGAAGCACCGGCAGGACACCTCATGAAAGATCCACTGCTGAAGGCTTTCATGGGACCTCCTTGGATTCAAATCTCAGCTCTACCAGTCACTGTGTGTGACCTTAGGGCAGGTAGCAAATGTCTCTCTGATTCTCAATTCTCTCATCTGTACAACAACGGTAAATTCTACCTGCAAAGTTGGGAAGGAAGGTGGGAAATCACACTAAAAAACAAAACCATCCAAGTGCCTGACATCTATAGTAAAAATTGAGCATGTCATAGTGCTCAAGTTTTAGGCAAGGTCTCTCTGATTCTCAATTCTCTCATCTGTACAACAACGGTAAATTCTACCTGCAAAGTTGGAAATGAAGGTGGGAAATCACACTAAAAAACAAAACCATCCAAGTGCCTGACATCTATAGTAAAAATCGAGCATGTCATAATGCTCAAGTTTTAGGCAAATAAAACATTAAGTCTGTGCACATTTGCTAAAATACGAACACACACACACAAGCTTCTGAACGTCAGGTCGCTATTGACACAAACAAAAAGCAATTCTTCCATTTAGAAACATTTTCTTTATATAGAAACATACTATTTATTCAGTAAGAAATTAATATTTTACCATCTGATTTGAAGAAATTTTCTCCTCTCAAGCCATCTGATTGAGGGCACACCATTGCAGCATGTACTTTATTATTATCATTATTATTATTTTCCACATTTAATACCATGTTTCCCTCTCCCGTATAGAATATTACCCAATAGAAGTCTCCAAAAGAAGTCACAGCACATTCATAACAAAGATAGAAAAGAAAACTGTCTTTCAATTTTTGCTTTCCAATATAAATGATTCAACTAAAACAAAGCTGGATTTAATCAGCTATGAAACTGGAAATATGAAAATCAGCCCGTGTATATGTCATGGCAAGGATCATTAACACCTCCATGAAATGAGGGGACCAAAGAGAGAAACACCTGCTGCTTCTTTCGAAACTTCTATAGAACTTTAAATTACTTTTGTAAAAAATTATTTCTTTAAAAGACATTCTGCTTCCTTCAATGGTGTCTTCTCAGGGCCATCCCTGGGCAAGCAGATGGTGCATGTGAAATGAAAAACATTCAGAGAACAGCAGCCCCTCCTAGGCTCTTGGTATCCATGTACAAGGAGACTTTCTGATTTCCAATCTTGGCTCAGTTCATAAGAGAAAAGAGAAGGGTTACATTCCTGGAAAAAAATTCAGCCTATGTGAGGACAGGCCTGATGTGCCGTCCACTCAAGTGTTGGTGGCTAATCCTCCTGGCTCGTAGAGTCTTCAGTACCCTGAAAACCTCCCTCCACCGTCCTTCTGCTCCATGGTCTTCTGAGTGTAGCTAAAGTGTCCACAAAGGGTAATGTCACAAGTCAAGGGCACAGGGCTCCCCAGGAAACACCTGTGTCTCACTCAATATGTTCTGATTTAAGAAATCTATGACACGTCTTCTCAGCAAGCACCTTCTACCTTTTGCAGCTAGTGCCTGGGATCCCAGCATACAGACTTCAATGCTGAAAATCATGTCAGAAAAGCAAAGACCATCTCTGCAGCTCTGCCATCCTCTCCACACACCTCCACTCCACGCAAATGTCCTAAGAAATATAAAAACAAACCAGACATGGCTGATTGAACTGTACAAAAAGGCTTTGTAAAAATACTCCCTGCACTTAAAAAAAAAAAAAAAAAGATGCATGTAAACATTGCCTCTAAGTCACAGGAAAACCCTTGCTGATTGAACTGTACAAAAAGGCTTTGTAAAAATACTCCCTGCACTTAAAAAAAAAAAAAAGATGCATGTAAACATTGCCTCTAAGTCACAGGAAAACCCTCGAGCCTTTTTGTCTCCTCTTTCCAATGTTTTGCAGTTTTTACTTGTTCACTTTTTCTTGGAGGTATCAATCTGTTTTTTTCTTATCAACAGAGTTCAGAGTCTGAAGCCGTCTTTGAGTATGAGTTTGTGGTTTGATTGGCAGAAATAGTATTATCAGGAGACTAATGATGTGCAAATAAAAGTACATGGACCTAGGAATAAAAACAGACACAAATTATATTTCAAACAAGAATACAAATGGGAAATGTCACATGATTACATCGTCTTAGTATGATGGCTTTCAGCAATGGTGTGTGTCTATACTCAGGCTTTCCTCAGTCCATTCCACAGATGAGTCCCTTTGGTGGGTGAATGGGATGGACTGAAACCACCAATCTGGGCAGAGCAAACTAACCAGCCCATCTGCGGATAGGCATGGTATTGTCCCATGGACATAGTCAGCAGACCGAAAGATGTTACTCCATGATAGCTAGAAACCTCTAATATTCAAAGTCTAAGGACTCACAAGCCCAAATTCAAACCCAATACTGTGTTCCCTGAACACAAACATAACTAACACTAACCCATACGTTCTTCTCAAGTGTTAAGGGTTCTTCTTGCACATCTTATGAACCAGAAGGATCCCGATTTTAAAAACCTGGTCTATAACCCTGAAAATAACTTTCAAACTAGTAAGAAATAAGATTTACTTTTGAGGTATGTGGACTTTTATTACAAAAGCATGGTATTCAGCACAGTGTGCACAATGTAGATACACAATAAATATTGGGCAAATCAACCAATGTAAGTAATTAAAAACAGCTTGCATTAACATAACTGTTCTAGACCCATTTGGAAAGGTTGAACTTACATTTTTCTCTAATGTATTTTGAAGATTAAAGGAAAATAATGCTAAAAGAGAGAAGAAAACCCACAATTGATATATGACCATTCCTCAGCTTCTGTAATGATAAGGTCGGGCACATCAGAATCAGATAATTCACGTAGGCCCCAAACTTCTCCACCCTTTAGCAAGAGGAATGCCTCCCTGAAACTGTCTACAGAACAGTCAGGAGCTCTAGCAGAAGCAAACATATCTTCATTTGTTTATTCTTTCAGCAAGCATTTACTGCTTCAGGTACACGATCCATTAAACTGGGATTTACAAAGAAACATAAGCCTCTGCCCCTTCCCTCAGGGGAATGGAAACAAGATAAGTACATGATTGATGATCATTTAACCAGTGGAAGGTTGAAGAGCCATAACAAGTGACTGTCTAATTTAGTGTCTAAACCAAGACATTACTGAGAGTGAAAATGGGCTCCACAAATAAACATGCTGCCTTAACAGGTATAAACTGAGATTCTCCCAGGTACATTCTAGCCATGGGTAACTCCAGCTTTCAATGTCTACACACCTAAAATATCCTTTCTTTTTGTGCTTTGCCTTAATCTTTCATATGTGGCCAAATCTACACTAGAGCAATTATGTTAGATTAAATCCAAATACTTTGACAATCAAGGGGAAAAAATTTCAATCCCGTAGTAAAGTTTACTAACCTATTCTGACATTTCATATTTCTCTAAAATTTTAAGGAATATTTCATCTTTCTATTATGGAAAAACTTAACTAACATTTACTGAGCATGCCAAGCACTGACCTAGGTACTCCAGACACACAGATTAATAAGGTATAGTTCCTGCTCTCAAGGAGTTTGCTACTTACAAAGGTTTCTACACAAATCCTGACATTCTTACACACTGAATTTAAGACAGTGTTATCTAATTAAAGACAAATTCATGCATGAGGATTTGCTTTTCAAAATGATTTCATAGTAGGGTTCTTTTATAATACAGTTAAGTATTCACTTGAGGCTCATTTACAACTTAAAGAAAAAAATACTAGACTGATTTCTACACAAATCCTGACATTCTTACACACTGAATTTAAGACAGTGTTATCTAATTAAAGAAAAATTCATGCATGAGGATTTGCTTTTCAAAATGATTTCATAGTAGGGTTCTTTTATAATACAGTTAAGTATTCAGTTGAGGCTCATTTACAACTTAAAGAAAAAAATACTAGACTGAAAATTTAAAGCTGAGATTTGAAGCCACACTAGACTGAAAACTGACCAGAAATAAGAAACAAAGCACATCTGAAATTTAAATGTTAAGCAATGAAAGATAAACTGAGAAATCGGTTTGCATACAACTGTCGTTCATTGCCAGTTACTGAAGTCAGCCCCAAATGAGGAACAGATCTATAACAGACTCACCTCCATTAAAAGGCAATTTTAATTTCTTTCACCAGATTCAGTGATTCTCTTAAGAGACTCTGAAAACACTTTCTGAGGTGCAATCAATCAATGATAACCACTGGCAACATGTGGCCATTAAAATTCAAATCAATTAAAATTAAGTAAAATTGAAAATTCAGTTCCTCAGTCTCACTAACCACATTTCCAATGCTCAATGGCCACACGTGCTGGTGGCTAGCATATGGGATGGCACAAATATAGAGCACTCCCATCACCATAGAAACTTCCACTGGACAGAGCTGATCTAGATAGAAAATTTAAATTATATATATAACCAGATAAAGCATTAGGTTGGATAATCTGAAATGGGCCAAACTAACAAAAAAAATGTCAATTTTGTTTCATCCTAAACAGAGGTATTTTTAAAAAATATTCTAGATTGTTTTTAAAAAGAAATGGAAAGCTATTTGATAACAATTTGATTCTGCTCCTGGAGTCCCTGCCTAAGCGTAGGAATGAGCATACTTTAATTGGTTAAACACACGTTATCACAAACAGATCGCCACTTAGTGTGATCCCCAAGCAGTAATTTGCTTCCAAAATAGCTTCTCCTAAAGAAATTTTTAGTAACTGCTAAAGAAAATTTTAGTACTGATCTTTCCATTAAAGAAACTTTGAGTCTGAAACTCAGGCCTAGCACTTAGTTGCTGTGTGAGTTTTGTAAAATTACTCAGCTTCTCTGAGCCTCCACATCTTCATATGACAAGTGGGGATACTGATACCTACCCCTCTCTCTCCTCAGCTTACCACTCCCCGCCTTGAATTCTGTACTCTGCCTACATGCAAATTTCTCTGGTCTTCAGTGCACAGAGCTTCCTCCTGCCACGGGGGCTTTGCTATGCTGTTCCGGAGCTCTGCCCACGGTGCCCACCTCGCCCACTGCTCACACACACCAGGCCAGCTTTGTTCCCACTGCGCAGCCTCCAGGACGGAGCTCAAATGCCACTTCCTCCCAAAAGCCGCCCCCAACACCCAGGCTGAGTCAGATTCCCATTATACTCCCATAAAACTCTGTACTATTCACTCAGAGTACGATCTCACTGTGTATTTATAAATTTGACAATTACTGCCTGTCTTTTCCATCAACCTATCGCCTCAATGGGAGCAGGAAGTATTTCTATATTTTGCTTGCCATTCTAGCCCCAGCTCCCAGCACAGTGCCCAGCACACTGTAGGTATTAAATGATACTGAGTGGAATACAGGCATTTCTGCTATAACGTGATAAATATATTCTTGAAAAATCTTGCGTGTGGCAATATTGCATGCCTAGAATACACCAAGGTTTATGGGGGGAAATCATGTTAGAAGCAAACAACTCAAAACCAAGGAGACTTTGTGATCAGAAACAATGAGCACCCACGGCCCTGGCAGACAACTCAACGGGGCTGAAGGTGCTACTGGCGGTGTTAAAAATGCAGAAGACAACAGCGTGTAGGATTGCCCTGGGATGGGCAGAGAGGAGGTGAAACCAGCTGAGAGCCAGAATGCAGCCTGGGGGATGCCTCTCTGGGGAGGGAACCCCAGTGAAGAGGTGCTCAGTTCAGTCTTCTTCATACAGAGCTGAAATGGCTCCTACCTCTGTAGAACCTCAACCAAGGGCTTTATTTTTTCTTGGCTGAAGAATATAATTCTCTTCCCACTCTTCGGGCATCCCTTGCCTAGAAAAATTTGTGTATAAACCAGCACAACTTCCATGTTATATTGAGATAACTTTTTATCACCTAACTGGTATTATAGAAACACATTATAGCAGAACAGACCTTATCATGGAGCGTTATATAGTTCTTTCTACCTTCTTTTCTTATAAGCTCAAAAAAAAAAAAAAAAACCTTACTTATAGACATTGATACCTGTGTTGAGTATAAAAGTTTTTCCATTCGTTCCTGACCAGTCCATCAACTATACAAAATCCCCAATTTATAAATAAGGCAAGTTTGCATTATTTATTTCTAAGTCACTTTTTAAAACCAGACTATGTTTCAAAGTTAACCTGAAAAAGGCTGTGTAATCCATTAAATAACATAAGTTAGCATTTACTGAGTATGGACTATAGGCCAGTTATGGCCTGAGCCCTCTGCACATTTCTAACATTCGGTCCTAACAATGGTGCTTTGAGGTGGATTCTATTCTTAGCCCACTCCACAGTTGAAGGAAGTACAGGTAAAAGAGGTTAATAACTTCCTAGAGGTCACACAATCTGTTTGCAAGTCCAGTTGCTCAATCATTCCACAAAAGTGGAGAAATACAACTTATTAAACATAAGAGTGACAAAACAAAAGTAAGTAATTATAAGTTTGCAGTTCATTTGGAGCACAGGTGTTTGAATAAAAGGTCCTGATGGCCTATCCCTAAAAGCCTCCGGTCTCTGGTGGAAGGCTCCTCCTCCACCCTAAATTCTACATACTCCCCTCCACCATGTGCAACTGGAAGCATAAATCCCCCACGTGCACCCACCAGAATTACCATCTCAGTAAAGAGCACAGAGCCCTTCTGCAGCCCCCTCAAGTCAGCCTATCTCAGCAGTCAGCAGCACCCCAGCTCCTGCCCCATTTCTGCCCTGCTCTCAGAATGCTCCAGTCCCCAACATAGCTCAAACCCCAGGAAAAAGAGCCAAGGGCAGCAAATTCACCTTCTGAGGTTTTAATATAGATCCATCCTTTTCTTTTTTTTTTTTTTCCTTTTTGTCTTTTTTCATGTCTGGCAACGGATCGCAACCCTCAGTGTCACGCCCGTACCGGACCGGGCCCGGCAACGGGATCGCAACCCTCGGTGTTGCGCCCACACCTCGCTCAGCCAGTGAGCGGGAACCGGTCTGTATGTGGGATCC